TTTAGTATGGCCCAACGGTTCAGAGCACTTGGTACACTTAGGACCGGGGTTTCATTTTCAGCACCCACGTGGTGGCTCCTGGCTTTCTGTGGGCATCATAAAGTGTACTTATTTACATACAAACACTCATATACAGAGACATGAGCAACTCTTTTGACATTTCTGACACCTGGTAAACAAATCTTGCAATCTGTAGATGCAAATTAACTCTCTAAGAAGGAATGCTCACACATCGGCAGGGATTTTTACTGCATGCAACCTACGTCACTCCATTCCGTAGCTTGGATCAGCTAGAGCCATCCGCTGTCTCCCCCCACCCCACATCTGTTCCTGACTCTGCATTTGCTCTTTAACAAAAAAACTTGACTGCAAACTAAGTTTGCATATGAAATGTGAAATAAAAGCAAGCCGTAGAGTGTCACCGGGAGGAGAGTGCTGCTTCGCGTGGGAACAGACGCTCATTCACAAATGCTCAGGCAGGGAAGAGTCTACTGCACAGACACAGAGAAAGGGTGAGCACTGGCTGCTTCCGAGAGCGGAGTTACTCGGTGTGTCTGTGCATGTTCACGTATACAAGTGTGCATGTGTTCCCATGTAGAGGCCAAAGGTCAAGTTAACCAAGCCTGTTCTTCCGGACACCTTGTGTTTTTTTGAAACAGGGTCTATCAGTGAACTAGGAGCTCACCCATTTTGCTGAAGTGGCTAGACAGCAAGCCACAGGTGTCCAGCTCGCCACCTCCCCAGAGCTGGGATGGGGGCACAAGCGGACGTGCTCAGCTTTTTGCAAGAATACTGGGAATCAACTCTCCGCCTTGATTACTACACGGCCAAGGCTAGCCCCAAACTTTTCTATCTCAAAAACGTGTACACCCTACATACTACGTAAACTGGGCTGTGTGAAACACTGAGGAGCGAGGCCAAGTGACAGCTGTTCACTCCCAAATCCCGTCACGGAAGGTGGAATATGGATGGTATCATCCTGCAAGCTCCTGACCTGGGCCACCAGAAGGACATTTCTGGACAGACATGTTGGTTTGTGGCCTTAATTCCCATGCTTAACAGACTGAGGCAGGAGCATTTATCATTTTGAGACAGGTCTGCGCTATGTAGCAATTTCCAGAAGAGTCTGAAGCTACGGTGAGGGTTTGTCTCAGAAATACACAAGGAGGCTCGGTGACACACAAATTCAATCCTCTAATTCAAGCACAGCAAAAGGCAGAGGCGGGGCTGGAGAGACGAGGCTCGGTGGTTAAGAGCTCTGACCACTGATCCTGAGTTCAAATCCCAGCAGCCACATGGTGGCTCACAACCATCTGTAATGGATCTGATGCCCTCTTCTGGTGTGTCTGAAGGTAGCAACAGTGTACTCATACATATAAAATAAATAAATAAATCTTTAAAAAAAACAAACAAACAAACACAGAGGCAGATGGATCTCCAAGTTCCACACCAGACAGTGAGACCCATCTCAAAACAAACCACCGCCACCACTAACAACAACAACAAAATAAAATTTAAAAAACAAAAACAAACAAAACAAACAAACAAACAAAACAATACACAGACGAACAGAGATGGCCCAGAACCAGCATGGCTCCGTATAATATAAGCCACACTGCTGCTGCTTAGCCTGACCAAGCAGAACTTTTTTTTGTTTTGTTTTGTTTTTGTTTTTGGAGACAGGGTTTCTCTGTGTAGCCCTGGCTGTCCTGGAACTCACTCTGTAGACCAGGCTGGCCTCGAACTCAGAAATCCGCCTGCCTCTGCCTCCCAAGTGCTGGGATTAAAGGTGTGCACCACCACCGCAAGGCTCCATGACAACTTTCTAAGATTGTGATAATAGTTTAGCATCGAGGCAGTGGTTCCTGCCATCTTTCTCCACTAAAACAAATGAACTCCCCTTTATTAAAGATCTGAGCGGTAAAGACGGCATTCAGTGTCCACAGAACATCACACACCAGAAAACACAATGGCCGGAGGTACTAATGGACTAACTTTGAGATAATCTGAGCATTCAAGAGGGGTCTGGGGTATAAGAAGCATTCAAAGAATACTTGCTTACCATGCAAACAACCATGTATGCAATCCCTCAAGTTAAATAATGCTAACAAGAAACTATGATCCGCCAATAATAATAAAAGTCCAGGAGTTCAGCCAAACATTACATATAGTACACCAAGCATTTCAGGCGTTAAGGAGGTAGAATCAGAAGATCAAGATCAGGACTGAAGAGATGGCTCAGTGGTTAAGAACACAGCTGCTCTTTCTGAGAATCCAGGTTCAATTCCCAGCACCCACGAGGCACTTCACAACTGTCTATAACTCCAGTTCCAGGGCATCTTGACACCCTTTTACAAACATACAGGCAAAACTCCAAAGCACAGAATGAAAATATATATATATAAAAATTCAAGATTCTCGGTAAGGACACAGTTCACTGAGGGCAGCCACCCATATGCTGGTCCTCCCGGGAAGTACAAGAAAGCAGACTGAAACTGGTTTTAATCCTAGCACTAGGAAAACAGGCAGGTTGAAACCCAGCCTGGTCTACAGAGTGAGTCTCAAGACACCCAGGGATACATACAGAGAAACCCTGTCTCGAAAAACCAAAAAATTCAGAAAGTAGGCTGAGCATTCCATGAAGAGCAAGCCAGTAAGCGGCATTCCTCAGTGGCCTCTGCTTCCTTTCCTGCCTCCGAGTTCTCGCCTGGAATTCCTTCCTTGACTTTTCCTGATGATGGACTTTACCCTGTAAACCAAATAAACCTCCCCAGAGAAGTTATCATTCTTGGCTACAGTTAGGGGACAGAGATATGAGACCCTTTCTCAAAGAAGAACAGAGGAGCTGGGCGGTGGTGGCACACGACTTTAATCCCTGTGTCAAAAAAGAAATTATAATAAAAAATAAAAAAATAAAAAGAAATGATGAAATAGTAAAACTGTATAGGCCCAGAGTGCTAGGTGAAGCATGAGGGTCTCTGATTGCCCCATCCACCCCACACCTGTGTGCTCCCTTCTGCCTCTGTTTTTTTTTTTGTTGTTGTTGTTTTTTTTTGGTTTTTTGAGACAGGGTTTCTCTGTGTATCCCTGGCTGTCCTGGAACTCACTCTGTAGACCAGGTTGGCCTCAAACTCAGAAATCCTCCTGCCTCTGGGATTAAAGGCATGCGCCGCCGGTAGTGGTGGCGCACACCGGTAGGATTTGCTGAAGGAGGCAGAGGCAGGAGGATCACGAGTTCGAGGCCAGCCTGGGCTACACATTTTTAAATCGGGCGGTGGTGGCGCACGCCTTTAATCCCAGCACTTGGGAGGCAGAGGCAGGTGGATTTCTGAGTTTGAGAGTTCGAGGCTAACCTGGTCTACAGAGTGAGTTCCAGGACAGCCAGGGCTACACAGAGAAACCCTGTCTCGAAAAACCAAACCAAAAAAAAAAAAAAAAAAAAAAAAGGCGTGCGCCACCTCTGCCCGGCTCTTTTTATTGTTTTCTCTTGCTTTTTGAAACAGGGTCTTTCTATGTAGATTTGACTGTCCTGGAACTCATTATGTAGACCAGGTTTGCCCTGAATTTCAGAAATCTGCCTTCCTCTGCCCTCTGCCTCCTGGGTGCTAGGACTAAAACCCATGCCACCAATGCCCACGCAGTCTATTCGTTTTCAGTGAAATAGACCATAAACACTTGTCCACATATGTAGAATATAAGCAGAGCTGGTTATTTAACATCTTGACTCCCCTGCTAGTGGCTCTTTGTGACTAAATATAAATATATATATGGCAAACAAACCCACAAATTGATAGCAAATTGAATACTGAAAAGATTCCCAAACCTCTCCCTACTTCTGGTATTTTTTAGAAATGGTCATTGTATAATATAATCTAGTTTGGCCTCAACCACAAGACAATCCTCCTGCCTCAGCATCTGAGTGCCAGGGTTAAACAAGTGCCTGTAAGTGCCTCTGTCATTAAGAATCTATCTGGGGAGAAACCCTTTAAATGTCCATCAACACAGGACTGGCTAATGGTCTAACCTCTTTTCAAAGTCTCAGATAAGAAGACAGCGTTTTAAGACTGGTAATTGGGGCTGGAGAGATGGCTCAGTGGTTAAGAGCACTGACTGCTCTTCCAGAGGACCTGAGTTCAATTCCCAGCAACCACATGATGGCTCACAACCATCTGTAATGGAATCAGATGCCCTCTTCTGGTGTGTCTGAAGACAGCTACAGTGTACTCATATACATAAAATAAATAAATCCTACCGGGCGATGGTGGTGCACGCCTTTAATCCTAGCACTTGGGTGGCAGAGGCAGGCAGATTTCTGAGTTCTAGGCTAGCCCGGTCTCAAAAAAAGACTGGTAATTGAAGTCTAGATGTTAAAAGGCTAATTCAGTTAAAAGTTCACAATCGTCTTGGAAGTAAAGGGGCCCATCCTGTAGCCCAGGTTACCCTGAACTTGCTACGTGATCCAAGTTGGCCTCAAATTAATCACTCATGAGCCCATGCCAGACATTCGCGTGTGAAGTCAATGGAGAAGTTTCAAGAGTTAGTTCTTTTCCTTCCACCATCCAGGTCCCAGGCCTTAAGCTCAGGTTATCAGTATATAGCATGCACCTTTCCCCACTGAGCAAAAGAGGTTTATTACTATGTATGTGCATCTGTGTGAGTTCTGATGCACCACATGCATGCAGGTGTGCTCAGAACTTTATTGTTCCTGGAACAGAAGTCTTAGGCAGTCCTGAGCTACCCAGTGCAGAAGAACTAGAGATTATGGTAATCCTTGGCTAACTACACACAACCTGAGCTATAGATCTCAAGATGAAAAACTTAGGTCTGGGTAAGGCTGAGGAAGCAGCAGGTAAGGGTAGAGAACATGCTTAGCTTGGGGGAACCCCTAGATTCAATTTCCAGCACCAATCTACCACAAGACACCAGCCACAAGTACTTAGGGGCAGGGGCTGATGCTGTGCCTAACACAGAAGATCCTCCCAGCCCTTGGCTGCTCTCACCTGTACCTGGGAGGTAGCCTCTGGCTTCTTTTTGAGCACCTCGCATTTCCTCTTCTTACAGATCTGGTGGCTGTTCTTTCTGTTCTTGCAGTAGGTACATTCCCCACAGTTGGCCTTCTGCTGGCAAGGCTCACAGACCCCACACGCCTTGCGTTTCCTTGTCGGTGCAGATTTACGCGGGAGAGAAGAGGTCCTGGCCTGTGTAACCGGCGTAGACATCGTTGTTGCTTTGACATCGGCTGAGCTGGTCACGCTGACCTGAGAAATCCCTCCTTCCAATTTGCTGGGAGCAGCCTGAGAGCGCTGGGTAAGATCTAATGGGGCATGCTGGAGTTCATTCTCGGGGACAATTGTAAACCCTTGTGTGTTTGCTGGGAAGGAATTGGCACCAAATTGCTGTTCAGTAGTTTTTGGTATACCGTTTGCAGCTATTACCAGAGGTATTGAACTTGACTCAGAGTTCGGTGGGGATTGGGGAGCGTGTCCTGAGTCCAAAGTTAAAATTGGGGTAGCACCTTGGACTTCAAGCCCACAGGAGGCAGAGCTGTGGGGCTCAGGCCCTGAGGGAGGGCTAGTGTAGGTAGCAACTGTGTTTGGAGGCTTAGGAAGGAAGATAGGCAGGTCCAGGGGAACATCCGTATCCATACCGACAGTCTCTTGCTGGTTTAGCATAGTAATAGCACCAAGATCCTCTGGTGAGTCTGAGCCCTTGTCCAGAGCCTCACCATGAGTGAAGTTAGCACCAGGAAATCCCCACTGATGTGGGACAGTACTAAAGGGATGTCCTAGGACAGAGGTGGCATCCAGAACTTCCTTTGGGGGGCTTCCCACTTGTTCTGGGGTAGTTTTAAGGGTTTCCTCTTGGGGCTTAGTATCAAGGATATCCGGCTGCGAGCCTGCCAAGATGAATTTTATCAGAGCTGTGGGATATACAGACTCATCAAGAGACATGCAGGTTTTAAGGTCCAATTCAGGAATGATCCTGAAACTGGAGTCCGGAAAGCAGTTATGATCACTCCCCGGAGGGTTTGGGGAAGGGTCAGACAGCTTGGGAGACTCTACTTGTGAGCTCAAGTCTGCTAACTGATTGCTAGTGTTTTTCTCAGAGGTAACTTCGGAAGTTGATCTTTGGGGCAATGGAGCACACTCCTGAGGGGAAGTGCACACATTATCGGATGTCTGATGAGAAAGCAGTTCTTCACAGCATGTTGCTTCCAGTGGCCAAGAAATTCCCGCTTCAAGGTTCTCATATGCGGAAATACAACTTTGGGGGTCTTCTATTCCTTGAGGGCAAGACGAGGCTCCCTCTTGGCTCTCTCCTTCAACAAAACGTCTGTTCTGTTCACCAGTTAGGTTCTCTGTATCTGGGGACATGATGGCTTCTTGGCTAGGGACTGAATCATTTTCAGAGTGCTTTACTCCCAGGTCGTCCTGGATGTTATGTATACACTGCTTCTTTGAAGATGGCACTTTCTTAGGTTTGGGCGTGACTGCAGGGCGCTGGGAGAGTCGCCAGCTAAGAGAGGTTCTTCGAAGAGCCATTGTAAACCCGTTGCAAGTTAAGGACTCTGGGTTCTGAAAAAGATTCTGATTCATTCGGGCGGCCCCAGCTCTCGTCAGAAGACTCGGTGCAGGTGTGGGGGTTTTGCCTTCCGTTTCCTTCTTACCAACTCTTCTTTTAATTAATTGCTTCAGTTTTCTGGGATTCATCACCTTCCCTGATGCCCCATGTTTGACAGCCTGCTTGGATGTCTTCTTCATCTGGCTCCTTTTCTTTTTCTGTAGCTTTGTTTTGACCGATTTGGAAGGCTTCGCAGGGCGGGACCGAGACATGGCAGCAGAGTAGGAAAAGATGCAAGGCTGCAGGACACAGGGTCATTGGTCCTTTGCAAAGTCTTCCTTTTGAGGAGAATCTGCAGGTGTTGCCAAGGTTGGTCACGTGAGGATTGGATCTAAAATAACAACAGCAAATATTATTATTAGTCCTTAGTACTCAACTAGAAAGATATTTGGTAATAAATTAATAGCTAGAAAACTGAGAATATTTACTACCAAAGGAAGAAAACACAGATAGAATTTGGCTTGGCAAAGTGGCTAAAATTTATATTGCCAGCATTTGGGAGACTGAGTTAGTTGCATGAGTTACAACACTACCTAGTATTTAGGTAGAGGTAGGATGATCAGGAGTTTGAAGCCATCTGCAGCTCCATAGTGAATCTGAGTTCAGTCTGGGCTACATGAGAACTTGTCTCAAATAAAAGGGAACCTAGACCGATGGCTTGAAATTAGGGCCATTGCCTGCTCCTCCTGTAGACCGGGGCTCAATTCCCAGCATGCACATGGCAGCTCACAATTGTAACTTCAGTCTCCCCAGGCCATCTGCTGCCCTTTTCTTGCCTCTTCAGGCACCAGGCATCCACTTAGTGCACAGAGAAACATACAGGCAAACACCCATACACATAAACACTAATTTTAGCAAAGTAGTGATGGCACACTCCTTTAATTCCAGCACTGGGGAGGCAGAGGCAGGTGGGTCTCTGAATTCAAGGCCAGCCAGGTCTACAGAGCTCCAGGACAACCAGGGCTACACAGAGAAGCCCTGTCTCAGAGAAAAATCTTAAATTTAAAAAAGAAACCACAGAGCAAGCATCTAGTGAACTCACTATTGCAAACATCTTGCAGGCAACCTGTGCTTCCCCAGACCTACATAGGGGGGTCTGTAACTCCAGTTCCAGTGGTTTATACACTTCCACCCGCTCATATCCTCAGATACAGTTCCAGAACTATCTTTAGAAAGCCAAGAATTGCTTTAATAACTGTTTCCATTAAAAAAATGACATCTAGCCAGGCAGTGGTGGTGCACGCCTTTAATCCCAGCCAGAGGCAGGCGGATTTATGAGTTCTACAGAGTGAGCTCGAGAACAGCCAGGGCTACACAGAGAAACCCTGTCTAGAAAAGAAAGAAAGAAAGAAAGAAAGAAAGAAAGAAAGAAAGAAAGAAAGAAAGAGAGAAATGACATCTAGGGCTGGAGAGATGGCTCAGCAGTTAAGAGCACTCACTGACTGCTCTTCCAGGTCCTGAGTTCAATTCCCAGCAACCACATGGTGGCTCACAACCATCTGTAATGGGATCTGCTGCCCTCTTCTGGTAGGTCTGAGGAGAGCAACAGTGTATTCACATAAAATAAATCCTAAAAAAAAAGACGTCCATTTCAATCTCTAAATGTAACAGCGTCAAAGTATGTTTTCTTTTTTAATTTGTCATGATGGTAGAACTAAAAAAATATAGAGGCATATAATCTAGGTACAGGAAAGAAAATTAAAATTCCTGTATGTGGGCCGGTAATCTGGATAAGCCAGAGGGTGTCCCAGGATCTGCTTTTTAAAGTAGTTTACAAATTGATTTGTCAATTCTGTCTTTTTAATTGAAGTGCTTTAGAAACTCAACGTGTAATTAAATTACTGCTCATGATTTAGCATGCAAAACATAGACGTGGCAAAGGAAACAGAAATGCCAAAGAAATGAAAAGATGAAGGGAATTGGAAGATCAAGTCTTTTCCCAACTGAACAGTCCTCCCCCACTTTTTAAAAAGGAGATCATAAAATCCCAACTATAGAGAAAAAAAAGTGACTAAAACAGACAGGCAAGCTCCAGAGACAATCAGAAGAAACCGTGGCCCCTTGAACTTTATCACTATGCAGGCACAGATGCAATGTAACCTTTTGTGATAAACTAAGGTGTCTCTAAGGAATAGGTTCTTTTTGAAAACAATGGGGAAGGACATTAAAAAGAAAGCATATAATGTAGCTCATATTAAATAGGTCTATAATAACATGGATTATTAAAGGTGTCTTAAAATTAATTTTTAATTTTATGAACATTGAGCCAGGTATAGGTGGCACAAGTCTTTAATCCCAGCATCTCTGGTTTAATCAGAGCAGAGGCTCCGAGGTCATTCCAGGACAGCAAGGGTTCCACAGACAAACCCTGTCTCAATATAAAAAAACAAATTTATAGACCAAATTTATAAAACGAAATAAATATAAACCATAAAATAAATAAATATAAACGAGATAAAGAAAGCCCAGCTAGAGAGGGTGTCATACACCCTTCATCCCAGTACTCCAGAGGCTCAGACAGTAAGACTGGTGAGTTTCAAGCAAGCTTGTACTTACACTACATGCAAGCTCCAAACCAGCCAGGACTATCTCAAAACAAACAAAATACAACAAGAAGCAGGATATGGTGGGCATCTGTAACCCCAACAAGTAACCTGAGGTAACACTGAGGAAGACTCAAGGTCAGCCTGTCCAGCATTAGGCATATCAGACAGACTCAGAAGCATGAAACACAGTCTACCAGCAGTCAGGAAGCAGAGTTCAAAGCCGCTTTTGGACAGTCTGGGCTACTACATAAAAGAGCCTGTCTCCAAACCAAACCAAACCAAAGCAAACAGTAACGAAAAGTGCCATGGTGGGTGGTACACGGCAATAATTCCGTTACCGGTACAAGTTCAAAGCTGTCTTCAGCCAGGTGGGGGTTGAGGGATGGAAACTAGTCTGAGCTAGTTTTTGGGGAAGGGAGTTTCATTCAGGCTTGGCAATAAAGACCTGTAATCCCAAGTAGTTGAGATGCTGAGGCAGGAAAATAGAGAATTCATGATGCAGAGTCAGTTCCAAGCCTGCTGAGACCCTTTCTCACAATGAAAGAAAGGGAAAAGGGCCGTGGAGTCAGCTCAGTGGCTGAGAGCTTGCCTCTCTTGTCTGAAGCCCTAGGTTTAATCCTCAACACCACCAATAAATAAATAAATAAAATATAATTATATATAATTTATTTATATTTTTATATAAAAATGTATATTTATGTTCTAGGTTAGAGTAAGTAAAACATATATATTTATATATATTTATATATACATATATACATTTACACATACATTTATACACACACACATATATATACACACACACATATGTTTTACTTACTCTAACCTAGAATATATCAAGGTATCTCTGCAATATAATATACATATATACCTGGCACCCATCTTAATAAATATATAGCAAGACCCAGGAGGGGGAGCCATGTGTAATTAACAGACACCATCCTATAAGTCCCTAATGTCCAGGGAGAAAAATAAAACTAGTCCGAGTTGGCACAGATATTTCAATCCCAGCACTGGGGGTAGAGGCAGTTGAGTCTCATGAGTTCAAGGCCAGCCTGGTCAACAGCCCAAGTTCCAGGATAGCCTGGGTCTTCAAAAACAAAAAGGAAAGAAAAACCTGAGACATGATACCTATTGGGAAGGGCATGGACGGTCTGGAACATGCTAAGCAAGCTCTCTGCCACTGAATCCTTCACGCTCGGCTCTCCCCACCTGAGACAGGGTCTTGCTAAGTGGCAAAGTAGGCCTAGAACTTAAAATCCTTTTCTCCTCAAAGCCTCATTCCAGTTGAGATTTGGGGTATGTGTCACCATAGCTTAAATTTATCTAGCCTAATGAGTGAAGAGATAGGATTGAAACTTTGCCCCCCATATGATATGAATATTATAAATTTTTCCCCTAAGAGGTTTTAAAATTTTGTTTTGCAAGTATGAAAATCATCAGGGTGCCGGGCGGTGGTGGCGCACGCCTTTAATCCCAGCACTTGGGAGGCAGAGACAGGCGGATTTCTGAGTTCGAGGCCAGCCTGGTCTACAGAGTGAGTTCCAGGACAGTCAGGGCTACACAGAGAAACCCTGTCTCGAAAAATCGAAAAAGAAAAAAGAAAGAAAGAAAGAAAGAAAGAAAGAAAGAAAGAAAGAAAGAAAGAAAATCATCAGGGTAGCAAAGATAGCTCAACAGAGTAAAGTCTCAGGAAGCCAAGGCTGAAAACCTTCATTTAATGTGTAGAGCACACAGGACTCCTATAGGCTGTCTTCTGACCTCCAAATACCAGCAGTGCATAGTACAGGCACAGCACATGCACAGTACACTCATACACAGCATGTGCACACTAAGTAACGTAATTAAAAAATTTAAAAAAAAACCTATTCAAATAAAAAAAAGTATTTATTTACTTTACCTAAAAAAATGAAAGGCTAGCTTCCTAGCAATACCAGTTAGCCGTAAATTGCAGTATTAACAGCACTATCCAGGAATTTCCTCTCCCTCTTTCTCTCCTCTTGCTGTACCTCTGAAAGTCCCCTTCGCAGGCAATGGCTGCGAATAAGTAACCATTGAGCTCACATGCCAATTTGAAATCACACTGCAATTCTTCCTGCTACTGCCAGAGCTTGTGTCATTTGCATGCCTAAAACTACTTGCAAACTGATTTCCGTCCAAGAGAATGTAAAGGCTTTTTCCCTTGACCAAAAAACAAAAACAAAACTAGACCAAAAAAACTAGACCAAAACAACACTTAAAAGCATTTTCTGAAAAAAGCTGCCACCTGGCTCCATTTCCCCACAACTAAGTTCTATGTAGAAAGAGGATGGGGGGGGGGGGCGGCAGCAACTCCAGGCTGTTCCTAGACAGTTCACTATCTCAGGAAGTGTGAAAGCCTGGGGCGCTCGGAGAGACAGCTCAGGGAAACGCACCAGAAAGCTGCCTCCTTCCATATGTAAAACACCCCTGACACTCCACGGGGGGTGGTGTGGGGAACGCAAATAGAACCAAAATGGAAGAGGACAGGGAAAAATGGAGGTTAAAAGGCTCTTCCAAAAGCCAGACTGTGTAATTAAGAAGAGTAAAAGGCCAAGGAACAGTATCTTAAACATTTTAAAAGGTGAAAAGACAGAAATCCAAATGACTGAGCAAAGCCAAGAATTCACAGGAATAATGCAAGGCGT